TCAGGATCCTCTGTGCTGAAATGGCGCCGCTTTCATCACTCCAACAACTACCTAACAGGAGTTTCTTCCCTTGATGCACAAGCACCTCCCTACCCCCGGGGAGTGACATGAGCAGGTGGAGGTGGATGGCGAGACTGTGCTCTGCTTCCAGGACTCCTGTGCTGCAGAACCCCAACAAAGACACAGGCCTCAGCCTACCCTCTGAAGAAAAGCCAAATGCTCCACAGTGCAAAGCAGGGTGACGAATAGAGCAATGAAAAGGAGGAGTTGTGAGGTCACTTTGAGCTAGCTGCTTTGGTGGCTGGAAAGAGGACACGCCAGCATAAAGCAGAGCTGTAACACAGGGAGCCACACTCTGAACTACTACTTTTGCTTCCTCGAGTGCTTGCTCATGTCAGTCCCATGTTAGTGTGGGCAGCCATGTGCACTCACAGGAGATTTCTGCCTTAGCGTTGTGTCCGTAGGGCCAGCTGTAGCACCACCCGGCATGGTGCTTCCATGCAGTGATATGTTAAGTGCTGCTGGCCCTGTGCTCTCAGTTCCTTCTTATCTCCTGTGGTAATTAGTCCAAGTGCCTTGTCCTCAGCAGACCTCAGGCCTTAGCCCTTTGTAAATAGTTAGGTTATTGTGTTTGTAAGTAGTTGTAAGTATTGCTGCTAGCTAGCAATGAGAGTCCCAGCTGGGACCCTGCCCCAGGTGAGGCATGCCCCACTCGCCCATACAGCAGGCCGATGCTCGTCAGTGGTCCATGTGACGTAGTGGGGGTACCTTGCTGGTTGCTATGCTGGGCGGGGGGCTGTGGGTGACCCCCACTGGCTGCTGTCTGTACCATGGCCCAACCAAGTAGCTGATGGGACAGGGAGGTGATCTGTTCAACTGGTTACCTCCCAGGGAGAGGAACAAAAGAAGGTGGAATGCCGCCCCTGGCTGGGGGGCAGGGCTGGAAGAGAGTTAGTTAGTTGCTGTCTGGTATCATGGAGGAGACAGCCTAGGGAAGGGGCTGGGATTTAGGGGCCCAGTCTCCCCCATCTCAAGGGGGGCTGAGGCATCCTAGGCCTGCCCTGTAACCAGATTACATCTGTGCTCTGCTGTATCCTGGAGAAGCAATAAACTCCCTCTATTCTACTGGCTGGTGGAGTCTGTCCATGCCACTACGGGGGTGCAGGAGGCAGGGGACCCCGATGCACCGTCACAGTCCACACAACGGTTGTCTCAAGTGTCCAAAG